GGTTTGGGGTTTGGGGTTTATGGTTTTAGGGTTTAGGGTTTTAGGGTTTTAGGGTTTTAGGGTTTGGGGTTTTAGGGTTTGGGGTTTGGGGTTTAGGGTTTAGGGTAGTTATATTGGGGATTATTAGGGTTATACTGGGGTTATATTGGGGTTATAGTGGGATAATGGAAAATAGAGCAGAAGCTACGATTTAGGGTTCAGTAGAAGGATTAAACCCAAGGCCATAAGGACAAACCCAAACTATCAAACTTCGAATCCGAAACTCCAGGCCCAAAATTCAGACCCACCCCCCTAAACTGGGTTGTTGTTAAGGAATTTCATTTAAGTTCCTATCTTGGGGGAAACCACATTGATTATTTTATGTACCTATTATGGTATCTTAATTTAAGTTCCTTAACAGCAACCCAGTAAATCCTAAACCCCCAACCCTCTGCCACGCTGCTCCGCAGGTCGAGCGTGAGTTCATTTGTGACGCCTTGTCCTGCGACCTCATTGGCATGAACAAGGCAAGTCATTTTTGGTGGCATTACAGGGGGGTGGGGGGTAGGGTTTGGGTTAGGGCTTAAGGCTTAAGGTTTAGGGTTCAGGTGTAGGGTGTAAGGATTGATGTTTAGGGTTAAGGGTTTAGGGCTAAGGGTTTTGCAGTGGCTACTACAGGAAAACGTATACTTGGAGGCCGAGAGTACTGAGTAAGTAGGTTACAGTGGGGTTATGAAGGGACTAACATCAAGTAGGGGACCTATCACCCGATGGATAACTGACTCTCACGGGTACTTGGACATATTTTTTTCCTTGTAGCTCATTATATAGAAAAAGCCAAAAATGTAGTGGGTTCCAAGTTCAGCATACCTAAGCCCGACAAAAGCACGTAAAAGAATGGCCCCAAATGCACAACAACAGCCAGACAAAGGCGATTCTTGTACATACTCTTGGGGAAAGAAAGGGTTGTACTTACCACCCCAAACCCTAAACCCTAAACCTTCAATCCTAAACCCTAAACCATAAATCCTAAACCCTAAACCCTAAACCCTATGTACTTACCAAGTTGCCTGAACCGCCAAGCAGGGATCCATTCCATTCCCGACAAAGCGTCAGACAGAGTTTCAGCGGCTGAAGAGCCCCCCTAAACCAGCCCTTAGGGTTTAGGGTTTAGGGTTTAGGATTTAGGGTTTAGGGTTTAGGATTGAAGGTTTAGGGTTTAGGGTTTAGGGTCTAAACTCCTTAAAGGGGGATCGTATAGGGGGCTACTATAGGGGATATTAAGGGGATATAGGGTTGAGGGCTTAGGGGTTGCGGGTTTAGCGGTTTAGGAGTTAAGTGACCTGGTTTTGGGTTTGTGGTTTAGGGTGTAGCTGTCTAGGGTTTATAGCCTAAGTGCTAACCCTTTCACCTTCAGAGGACCTGATGACGAAGTACATTGAGTTCGTGGCCGATAGGTTGCTCAGCGCCCTGGGACACAGCCGCTTCGTCTGGGTTTTGAGGTTCAGCCTAGGTATAGAAAGGGTTTTGGGGATATGTAGAGATATGTAGCGGGTACGTTATATTATTACTCGGGCCCTATATAGTCCCCATATATCCCCCCCTAATCCCCTTTAAAGGGACCCTGTTATTTGGGTTCTTGGACCCTTAGGGTAATGTTCAGCCCCCAGACTTGCCTTTTGGGTTTAGTGTCATAGGTGGCTGGGGCTCAAGGTTTTAGGTTCAAGTTCGGGATTTATAGGTTGTGGGCGCAAGCACTTGAAGTTCCTGCATCAAGTCATTGTAATACACCCATGCTGATTGATGTTGCTTGATATGAGGCAAGCATATGTCGTGCGTGGAGATAATGTCTATATGCAGGGACGGTGCCCGACAACGAGAGCCGGAGCTTCCAGAAGAAAAGGATCTCGGTAGCTCCAAGCCCCGAAATGTGGACCCTCTAATCTCCTTGGGACTTAGCTTGGACCTTAGACCCTTAACCCTTTGGGATTCCCTTGTATTCCTATTATAGGTACCTAAGGGTTAACCCTTACTAGGGGTCCTAAGTGCCATGTAGTAATAGGGTCGTAATTTTGGCAGTGGGGATTCCCAAGGTTTTCTTATTCTTCATGTCTTCTGCTCAAAGGCCCGGGTTATGGAGTTCGTATATCTTTGGATCACCAGGCCTTACACATCAAGCCCTCTTTCCCTGATTTTGAGCAGCCCAAGCCGTGAGACAAAAAACGGCTTCCTAGTTGGGAAGCCTTCGCATTGATTCGAAGGATCACATTGCTTAGGGTTCAGGGTTTCTAGGTTGTAGGGTTTAGAGTTTATAGGTTATAGGGTTTTGGGGTTTTTAGGTTTGAGGGTCTAGGGCCTGTGGAAGTTGAACGGTTTCAGGATTTAGGGTCTGGGGTACCTCCCTTGCAATGCATGAAACCAGGAGAAAAATCGGGGAGCAACCACTTCGTGATTCCGGTCTTCGTGATTCCGGTCTTCGTGTAGGTTCGTTATGGACCTACCCTAAACTCATCCAGAGGTTGTTTGTAAACAGGCCCTGAACTGGCCCTAAGCGCCAAACCCTGAATCCAAGAGTCCTCTAAACACGCATGGAATACCACCATGGCCCCTTTTACAATCCTAAACCCTAAACCCTAAACTCTAAACCCTAAACCCTTCTACATCAGTTCTGGGGGGAGGCTTCGCCTTAAACCCTACTTAGAGTCTCAGGTTTAGGGTTGAGGGTTTAGGGTTTAGGGGCTTTTCTCTGCATGGTTGATAAACCGACGAACTTCAAGTAGGGGGCTTCTGAACCTACTTGCTATAAGCCCCCCGAGCCTTCAAAGCCTCCAAGTGTCATTATATAGTCTGTAGACGTGCAGTACATATATAGCAGACTCCTTGAAACCCTGAACCCTAAACCGTAAACCCCACCCTAAACTCCAAACCCTACACCCTGAACCCTAAACCCCTAAACCCCAAACCCCTAAACCCTAAACCCCAACCCCAATCCTTAACCTTAAACCGTAGCCGTTTAAGTCGGAGGCCCCATATAAACCCCAATTATCCTTGTATAACCCCAATATAACCCTAAATTCTAAACCCTAAACCCTAAACCCTACCCATTTAAGTCGAAGGCAAGATCTTCGGCTCCTCCAACCCTTTCGACTTTATGGAGCTCATCTCGCTGCAAGGCTTCGCAGCTTAGGGTTTGGGTTTAGGATTCGGGGTTTGGGGTTTAGGGTTTAGGGTTTAGGGTTTGGGGTTTAGGGTTTAGGGTTTAGGGGTTTAGGGTTTAGGTTGGGTTTTAGGGTTTAGGGTTTGGGGTTCAGGGTTTAGGGGTTTGGAGTTTAGGGTTTAGGGTTTAGGGTTTCGGATTTACGGTTAGGAGTTTGGGGTTTCAGGTAGGGGTTATTTCGGGGTTGCAGAGGTTTATTTGGGGGTGGGTTCTTGGGTTCTGTTGGCATTGGGTTTAGATGTTAAGGGTAGGGTCCAGCTAGGGTATAGGGGTTATGGGAGTTAGGATTTGGGAGCTGAGAAAAAGGGTGCGGAGTCTAGAGTTTAGATTACATGTTTTGGATTTAGCATGTGTAAGCTGCCCTCCTGCAGTGGGCATCTAACAAACCACCAAAAAAAAGTTTAGGGTTTGGGACAGGGTTTAGGGTTTAGGGTTTTAGGCAGAGGCTAACAAACCTCCGTGCTGGATCCAAGCAGAATCCATGTTGTTTCCATTTTCTTTTCCATTATTCCTATATAACCCCAGTATTTACATATATACATACCCTTATAATCCCTGTAGTTTCCGTCAGCCTCCTCTTCGAATCACCTCCCCCCCGACAATAATGCAACCCCCCAGCCGCCTTGCAATAACGACTGACCGAGTACACAACGGCGTCATAATAGTGTTGGTCTTGAATGCAGGGCGGCGGGCTTGGGAGCTTGTATACAATGGTATTTATTGTCTGTATATACTGTGGGGCGGCAGGGTTATGATGAGGGGGGGCGGATTATTTGACAGCAGTGTCACGATTACATCCTCGAAGGGGACCCAGGGCAATCAACTGACAATCCCAGTATATCCCCATGAAACGGCTCGTTGGACAGGGTAGGCAGGCTCTCATGGGGCTTTATGTCCCAAAATTTGGGTTAGTCTGGTGATACCCTCCTGTACTTCAAAGAGGGACCCCATTTTGAGAAAAGATCTGGTAGCCAAGGTAGGAGATTGCGGCGGCATTTGCATTAATCACTGACGCTACAACACTAACTCCTTCTTGCAACCAGCCCTAAACCCTAAAAGCCTGAATCCTAAATTGCGCGCCTGCGCCGCAATGCTAGTAACTGCTAGTCGCAGGCAAGACCAACTTCTTCGAGAAGAGGGTCGGTGAGTACCAGAAGGCTCGCCATCATACATTAGGGTTTGGGGTTCAGGGCTTGGTGTTTAGGGTTGAACGGTGGGGTTTCAGTTGGCTGTTTGAAGACTGGTAAAGACTACGGGTCCATGTGATGGAAGAGACTGTGGGGCTCCAGGGAAGCTTCCTGCCAAGATACTTTGGGAACCAGGTATGTACAATGCAGGTACACAGACACCTGGGGAAACCCCATATTAAACCCTAACCCTAAACCATAAACCCTAAACCAAGGCCGATGCGGATGCTCCACTCTTCTTGGGGCGTGCGCAGGCATGTTGATTCTCTTCTACAATATCCTCATATAATCCCTGCTGGCCCTAAGCCCTAAAGCCTCAAGCCTCAAACCCAAACCCTACTTTAAACAATTACGAATGGTAGTTTCCCTGAATAAGGGCCCCCAATATGGACCCCCCAAATATTACAATCCTGATTTAATTAAGGGACCCACAATGTGGTACCCCTGATTGTGGCGAGGCTCCATATCAAGCTCGTTATGGACAATAATTGCACTCTGAACTTCAAACCCTAAACTATTTAACCCAAACGTAGACCTGTGATTGATGAATCCCCTCCCCTGAATAGGGGGTAAAATAGTGATCCTAATATTAGGGCCTTAAAGGAGCGGGGTGTTTATTAATCGCGGGTCTACAGTAAGCCTTAAACCCTAAACCCTCAACCCCTACAGCTTAGGAGGACCCCCCACCCTGTAATAATGGTATAACAGACATATATGCGGACCCCAATATAATCCCTATTATCCTTTCTAGTCACTATTGCACGGTGGGGGGTCTACCTAACCTACAACCCCAAACCTTCAAGCCGTTGGGAGAGGCTGGCGTCATGGCTGGAGCTGGTGATGGTCTGAACGCCTTCTCGCCACTCAGTCTTCCACAGCGGTTTAGGGTTTAAGGATTTATATAAGGGTGTAGGGGTTTAGGATGAAATGAGTTAAATGAGGTTATTGAAGGCTGAACGATTAGTGTTAAAAGGTTGAAGGGCTTAGGATGCTGTAGGGTTTCAAGGGGATTCTGTTTTTTGGTGGGATTATTATACATCTTGCTAGTTTCTACACTCCCCACGAACAAGGGTAACTGGGGCTAGTAATGCCATTAAAGGTCTACTTAGACATGTACACTCTGCAAGTATAACTTAGTATAATTGAGAACCCCGATTATGATGGATGGAGTGGTTGAAGCGGAGACGATGGCATTGGATGAGCTGTATGTCTGAGAAGAATTAAAACCCTAAGTGTCCAAGCGCCCAGTGGGTTTAGGGTTTAGGGTTTAGGGTTTAGGATCTGCTCCAAGACCTGCATTACGATTACCATTGGCCCGAACCTGAATAACCCTAAACCCTAAACCCTAAACACTCAGATGTTGGGTATATACTTGGTCCCTGTAGACTCTCCCAGACTCCCCCATGCGAGAATGGCACCCCAAAGACAACAGATTGTCTGAACCCCAAGAGAATGTAGGATAATGGCCTTTTGGGCTAGTTTTAGGGGTTTTGGGCTATCGTTTTACCTACTTTTTGGATTTAGGTATCCCCTAAACCCTAAACTCTCGATGTGTTTGGAGCATGGTACATCCTTTTGTCTAACACTGCTGTGTCCCCGCAACTGAACCACACCACTGGGACACCTCTATATCCTAAAGTGGGGGTTTAGGGTTTAATTAGGGTTCAGGGACTACTCGAAGTTTCTGGGGTCATAAAGAGACTCACCCCTGCCAGGGGACTTATAGCCTACTTACTAAGTCTCCCGAACCTTTAAGTATCACTAGTCCTGAATACCCTAGGGAGCCAAGTATACAAATATAACCTACATTGGCCCTAAAGTTTGTAAATGTTGCCTACATGGGGCTGTTTGAATCCCTAGGGATAATGTACTTCCGCCAAGGCTGAACGAGGAGTTCTAAACACTTCTGAGTCTGCAACGCCAGACTTTCGGGGGATGCCGGGAATCCGCGAGCATCTTAGGAACCTTGTTTTCCGGCCTTAAAAGTTTAGAGTTGAGGGTTTTGGGGTTGATTGGGTACATGATAGGGATAACCCTAAACCCTAAACCCTAAACCGTGTTTCCTTTGTTCTTTTCTACCCAGAGGATCCTAAGTTCTTATATAGGGGATAGTAACCAAAACCATACCGCCAACATCTACTACAGAAACCCTACGATTTATACCATATACCTAGACCCCAAAAGTATGTAAATAAATGGTCTTTATGGCTGTGATCATGTGTTTAGGGCCAGTATTTTACACATTTTTTTGGGTTTTGGTACTTAGAATCCTTTGGGCTCATTCGTTTCGTAGAGCTACATGGTTCGCCTCGCGGCAGATGTGGGGCGGCCCTCTATACGCTTTACATTAGAGGGTTTAGTCAGAGCTTAGGGTCTAGGATCGGAAAGAAAAACAAATTCCTCAAAATCCTCTAAGTTCCCCAATGGGGTTTAGGGTTTAGGGTTTAGGGGTAGGAGTTCCATGTGTTGGATCCTTTATGGGGTCTGGGAATCAAGCCTTTCGTATAGGGTACCAAAATGTCAAGAGTCGTTTTGAGAAGCGAAAAGTATGTGCCTGACTACTTCGGGGGGGTGAGGGGACTTAGTGAGTAGGTTAATAGCCCCGGTAATCCATGTAGTAATCCCAGTTATCCCCA